TCTTTCCCATTTCTTTACAACTCATGCAACTTATATGCCCACCTGATCTGGCAGACTTCTGCACCAGGTGGACGTCTCCGTGCTGAAAGAGCAGGCAAATACCAGGATGAATGTCTCCGCCAGGAGATGGAGGCAGCTCACAGTGTACAGCCTTGGGAGCCATTAGCCCCTCGCTCGCTGAAAAGGCAGAGCCTCCACCATAGCACCTTCAGTGTCAGGAGGCTGATTCACTCCGGAAACGTTCACTGCAACTTCTGCAGGAAGGATTTCAGATGAAATGCCCCAGATCCCATTGATTTTTTTTTCCTCTGCTGCTTTCTGGCCCTGTTACTCATAACCCTGAAGTCACATGAGCCTCATCTCATTCTGAAGCTCCTATGTAAATGAGTGCCCAGCCTGTCTGTTGTGATTTGCTTGTGTGGGAACCCTAAAGCTAGTAGGATATTTTTTAAATACTCTGGTATTTCCCTACCATCCTTAGGGGATTTTGACCCTCTGATGCTTTCTGCTATTTACCCAGACACCCGTTCAAGTAAATGTATTTTTTTCCTTCCTGTTCTGCAAGATAGAACTTTTATTTGGATTCTCCCTTTTTGTGACCACTTCTGGAAGTCTCTTTGCTAAGTTACAAATCTTTCACAGCCAGAGCTTCTTTCCTTAGCAGAAAGGCAAAACTAATATGAAACAATTGGCTTAATGACTACTGTACAGCATTGCACTGGAATTCCTTGTAATACAGTGCAGGAAGAGATTGCTGCGCAGGCTATGCTTACACAGTCATTTCATTTGGGGAAGGGATACTTTTAGATTTTTAAATTATGATCTGAATATTATCTATGTTTTTGGATTTCTCAAGGATCTACCCACTATATTAATAGATAACTTATGATACAGAAAAGAAGAAAACACACTACATTTTCAGCTTAGAGAGAATGTAGATTTATCTTTCAGTACTTCAGTGCTCTGCTCAGCAAGTCTTTGGTGGGATCTGAAGTATTAGGCCACTTAAACAGATCTGGGAGCACCAAACAGCATGTACTGTACTACACCAAAACACATAAGAAAGGAAAACAAAAGGAAAACAAAAACTTTTGCCTACAAAACCTGGAGCTGTAGGTTGGCACCTTTTTGTACCAAAAAACAGTTAAATCACCCATGTCTGGCAGCTATGGCCTTTACAATGACAGGAATAGCAGAAAAGGTAGTTCAGTGATCAGGATAGACACAGAAAAAACATGAGACCAAAGCTCTTGGGATATGCTAAGGTGTCTTTCCCACCTAGGATTGGGATACTTTGCTCTAAGCTCCTCTTCCAGACAGGCACAGGAGGGACTTTTAAGCTGTTATGTCAGACCTGGGAGTTCAGATGTCCAGGACTATGCTTTGTTTGAGTGTCCTGCTGAGACTTTAGCATCATGGAGGCCTTTGAGCACCTCTGCATCCTGGTGATGGAGACACAGATGGACCAGAGAGATACTCAATACCTAGGGATTTTACTGACAAAGGGGCTGAAGGACTTCAGACAGAGTTTGAGGGGCCCTGTGAAGGTCTCAGTAGCATCTAGATGTTGGATATTAGTGTTTTGGATATAAACCTTCAAAAATTCATACTAAGCATAACTTTGCATGCTTGGGGCCACGAGACCACAGTGCATGACGTTAGCTTGCGCATTCAATCCTCGCAAATTAAGTGGTTCAGCATGGTGACATGATGCATGTTTTGTTCAGGTGAAAGCCACAGGAGACCAGTGACTGCATAATTTTATTCCACGTATTTCAGTGGGACACTATGGTATAATATGCACAGCACTGAAATAGAAACCCACAGCACTGAACAGTTACAATTTCATATTAAGTTTATATTAAACTGTCCAGGCCCCTTAAAATCCAGAGTTAGAAATATAGGTGCTTTTACATCTGAGTGCTCCATTTCTCAGATGCTGGTGTTTAACACGCAGTGCAGCAAAGCTGACAGGGAGCAGGCTTAATGGGCTAACATAAACTTGTTCAGTCATTTCTGTACTGATGCCTTCTCCTACATCAGTGATAAATACTGATAGCATCAACCCTTGCCTGGTTCAGAAGAGTTCTCCTAGCTGCATAGGAAGAAAGAAAAAATTTTTGGAAGTGGTTTAATTGAGTTGTTACATTGTTAACTCACCTTTCCTTGACCATCCATGGTTATTCTGGAGAAGACTACCATTAGCTCTTACAAGGGTTATTCTTCAAGCTCTTACATGCAGTAGTACACATTCTAGCACTTATATTTAATAGTAGCGCCACAGCTCCTGCATAAGCATTATTACTTCTCAACCTGCAGATGACGTGCCTCGGTCAGTTCCCCCGTGGTCTGTCAGCTGTCTCCCAGGCAGCCCAGCACCCCCTGCAAAGGGCTTTCATGGCCCTTTTACGCCAAACACCTGCTGTAGGAAACCTAGTCAGCCTGATGTGATTGCATCTTCATTTGTCAAGGTAAATGACTATTGAAAAAAGGCCTGTATGTATATATACTTTAAAAAAAACCAAACGTATTTGATGTCTGTCAAACAGAAACCTAAAATAAGAGCAGGTAATTTTGCTTGGGAGTTTTATGATGACTTCTTTTTTGTACTAATGTTAATTTTCAAAAAACTCCCTGTGTCTAATACTGAAAGACAGCCCACAGCATGCTGTCCAGACTGCCCCCTCCTCCAGCCTCACTAAAGTGAACAATATTACATACGTAACCTCTCCCTCCTCCCACCATTCTCGATTTCTGACAGCAATGATTCTTTTTGTTATTGATTTGGCTTATTTCCCTCCCCCTCTCCTTTTTTTTCTTTTTTGGTTAAGCTCTAGTATGCACCCATGGTGTTGGGCAGGAAGTCAGATTTCCCCTGGTGAATTACTGGGGGGGGAGAAACTTAGGTTTTGTTCTCTGGTTATGGCTCCATGTCAAGGGATTCATATGAGCTCATACAAATGCACATTGTGAGTT